AAACCTGTTTTCGGCCGACTGCCCAGTCCAGTGTGCGCTCGAGTTGTGGACTGCTCTGTCCGACTGAGCAGGCTAGTGTGTGGAGACCCATAGATATTCTGCCAATGTTTACGTCGAGTATTCATTTTTCCTGTTTTCGTTCTCGCTTTTACGAGAAATAGCAAACAAACGACAACCCCACCACCCATGGTTGCATTTTTGTATCGAGAAAGATTGCCAGAAACTCATTCGCTGTGTGAACAGCCAAAAAGCGATTCCAGACATTTTTCCTGCAATTCGCCTTTCGGAAATAAAAAAAAACCCCTCTTTCGAAAGACACTTTAAATGCAAGGTGTGACTGCTCATGCAACTGCTTTCTGAAATTTCTCAATTTGACAGCCTTTTCGAAATATTTTGCCTACGAAATATATTGACACGCTGTTTAGTATAACAATGGGCCGTATGAATAAAAACTAAGCAATTGCTTTTTCTTAAAATTTCATACCTTTTACTTCAATTTTGTTTGAATAAATTGAGTAAAAGATCTGAAATTTTAAGAAAAAGCAATTGCTTAGTTTTTATTCATACGGCCCAATGTGCAAGTTTGAAGTTGCCAGAAAATCGTGTTTCTGGCAATTTTTTTCACGCAGGTTCTTCCTTACAAAGTAGTTCGACAATTATTTTTGTATGGAGAAAATGAGCAACATCTTCTACTAAAAATATTGCCAAAAATCTAGTAACTAACTTTTGGATTTGCCGTTCGGGCAATTCTTTTGGGGTTTGTATAGGGCCGCCAAGCTTATGATTTCCATAGTCGTCGGGATTTTTAAAGGAACTTCTTATTATATTCTGCTGCCTGATTACTTCAGCAGTTATTTAGCTACCTTTCGTCCCACAAAAATTCATTCTTGTTACATTTCCGGGCTCTTCTTTAGATAATTCAATGCATGGGAAAATAATAAAAGTTTTATTGTGAAAATAGTTTCTATATGTTTAAGGCTTTACCACACAGTCATTGGTGTAACAGGCGGAAGCTAAATAATTAGTTTTGCACATAAGTATAATTATTTACTATTAAATATTATACTATTGTTTGCGAAAACGGTAGTTAAAATTGTAATTGAATACTTGAATACTTATAAACTAAGCTGGGGATATGGTCAAATAACCTTTGCCGGTTTTGCGACTCTTCCAGTGAAATACCACTCCACATCCTCATCGAGTGTGATGCAATCAGCAGTCGACGTGAGAGACGAGTAGGCTCAACGTGACCACGGAGTAAGCACATTCACTCGCTATCCCCGAAAACCCGAAGGAACTTTCTGACGGATCTAGGCTTGGAGGAAGTTATGTGAAGAGCGGAGGGCACAATGGATCATTAGGTCGCAGTGCATACCTCATTATATTATCTATCTCTATAAACTAAAGGCTATTATAATTGTAAACAGCAAAACGTTTTACCCTTCTTATATAGAGCGAGAATGTGAAAAAGCAAATTGCACGTATAAATCTTTTACTGAGGTACATCTTTTATATTAGCAATTGTAGTATAACCAGGGTTTTTCTTTATGGGGAGCATTTGCGCCTCGTCATGATGTTGTGTTTTGGCGACATCAGAAGACATCCGGTCGCTGTCCGGAGTGCTGCGTTATGTATCGTCTGAAGCTTTATCCACTACGTCCTACTGGTCCCCGGCGACCACACTGACGATGCGTAGTTTAGAACCGGCCGGCCAATCGTCTTGTATGTGTCTTTGACCCAGGTACTGTACTTTATTGACTATTACGGCTGTGTGCGCGGAGAAGTAGACCAGACTGTCGAGTGTTACTCGGAGGATTTCCGGGTTATTCACCGTCACAATTGGTATGTCAGCAACGTGAACACCCAGCTACAGTCTGACCTTCTTTGTCGAGGTGGTGAACAGGAGGATTTAATAGGGGAGAGTTTTAGGCTCCTATCAGTGAAGAAGCGAGAAAGCTCAGAGTGGTAACCGTGAGCTTTTGAGCACAATTCATCAATTCCATTCCCAGACGCCATAATCGAGCAATCGTCAGCGTAAGAGGTAATCGAGAACCCCTCTGGGGATTAACAGAGCTTAGAAATATAAAAGTTGAACAGTAATGGGGAAAGGACATCACCCTGTGGAACCCCCTGTTTTATTTTTCTGGGCTTTTCAATTTTTCTCTAAACATTACTGACGCCGACCACTGTTTGAGTCTCCGTGGGAGAGAGGAGGCCTGTATGTATTCTGGTAGCGTGGAGTGACTGACAGTATCAAACGCCTTTGACAAATCCAACGCTACTAGAACAGTTCTCTCACAGGGGCGGTTGCGGTTTATAACACATGTTATCTGAGTGTTTATGGCGTTAAGTGCTGTGCACTTTACCGAAACTATGCTGATGCTTCGCTGGGGTCGAATGGTTCGTAAAATACGGGAGTAGCAAGACCTCTTGTGTCTTCGCTACCAGGGAAAGGAGGGTTATCGGGCGATAAGACTCCTTTGATGGCTGCTTTCCCCGGTTTGGCAGTGGAACCACTCTCCCTATCTTACAGATGTCTGGGATGATGAGAGTGGCCATTTTCAGGTTGAGCACCTTGGTTAAATAGTCTACTCCCGCGGGACCCAAATTTTTCAGCATCAGCATGCATATTCCGACGGGTGCTTTGGCTTTAGGGGCTTGCCCCTTCCCGATGGCTACTTGAACTTCACCGAAAGTGAAAGCAAGAGGCGCACTTGTTGTTAGCAGTTTGTGCAGCCTTCTAGTCACTCTACGTTTGGCTTGGTCCGCCGGAGGATGCAGCGTAAATTGTCCGACGAGGCGCGGTCCCGAAAGAGATTTCGACTCTGTCGTCGCGCTTTGTCGGATTGGAAAGTGGCCTCATGGTTGACCAAAGCTTGCTCACACCAGAGCTGAAGTTGCAAGTCTTCAGATACTCTTCCGCTTATGTACGTTCACAAGCTTCCGAATCTCCGTATTGAGATCTCTCTGGGATTGGCCTGACGAAGGTTGTCACGCTTATCGGATAGAACAGCCCCTTCTGCAGGAAAGTTCAGACGGGGGTCCGTTAACAACCGTCTGGAACGAAGGGAGCTGCAGCTGCAGTGACAACGAATGTCGAATCGTCTATCTGCTCAGCCAAGCGTGTCCCCCTATGAACATTTGGCAGGCTTGAATGCCAAAGATCATGGTGCGCGTTAAAATCGCCAAAATACCAAACGGTTTTCACATCTGAAGAGCGCACCTATTTCAGGGTGATATCCGGCCGGGAAGCTAATGACTGGGAGTTTATAAACGTTAATTATTTTGAGATTAACATCGCCTGGCCGGATAGCAATACCCTGACATTCTAGGATTACATCCCTGCGGTCGATGTCAACAATGTAGAATTGATGTGGGACTACGTCTCTTGGACCGCAGCTATTAATATTCCATGCCGGCCCATAAAGACGGTTATCTCCTCGATCTTGCTCTGTAGTCCGTTGCAGTTGAATTGTAGTAGCTTTGTGGGCCTAGAGAGACTTATTGTTATGTGGGGGGTGAGTGATGTGTGTCGCGGTTGGAACTTGCGAATTAGTAGCGCAACACGGTCCCTCGAACTTACTTGTCCGATCTCGCGTGGTGCGCAGACCTGAGCATGCCCTAAAGGTGGCACCAGCCAAGGCAGGTGTTGCACTTGACTGATGTCACATTACGGAATTACCTAGTCTGACACACCGTGCAGATTGTTGGAAGAACCACGAGTTGTTGGCGGCGGCGAGTAGGTGGTGCGGTTGTGTCCGCGGTGGGGTTGTTGTTGTTGTTGTAGCAGCATACAAGCTCCGCAAAGAGTTTTTGGGGAGTGTTGCTGAAGTGACAGTCCTTGGCCAAATATAAATTTGGGTCGTTCCGGTTGCGTAGACCCGACTGTCGTGGGAACGTCCGTGGTGTGGTACTGTGGTGTTTGTGTTGAACCGCTCAGACGGACTTGGGTGCGCCGTGGAGCGAGCTCTGTTTGAGCAGCAGGGGCCACATATGATGTGGTCCACTGCCGATAAGTCCGTAATCACTACACTTGACTGAGGCGGAGTTGTGGTGTAGTCGTCTTTGGCAGAGCAGCAGGTGTAAGTTTCTGGCCCAGGGTTTGACTCGATGACAGCCCTGGCAGAAGAGTACGTAGCAGATATAGCCCTATGGACAAACAACACTTGAGATATTTCACCGACCTAAACGAGGTTAGGTCGCCGAAACAACAGCCCTTGGTCGAGAATAACCCGAGTAATTCCGGTACATAGAACCGTCTGTCGGGGGTTTCCTTCAGCGTCCGGTAAATCTTCGGCTTTACTTCTACTCTGTTTGCAACCTAAAAAAAAGGGATTCTGCAAATTTCATGAGTCATAATTATGATCCACAATTACATGACAACTACACTTCTGTACACTCGGGCATTTTGCTTCAAATACATCGATATCTGGTTGCAATTGCAAAGATATCGTCGTCGTAATATTATTCCTTGAATATTTTTAAAGGGCATTATGGTACAAAAGCGAAGACTTTTTGTCGTTTTCGCTGATTTTAATTTAATTTTATTGCAATTGTTTATCTTTCATAAGTTTTTTCTTATCGATTAGTAAACGAAGATGTTGATTTTTGCATCGTCTATGATAAGGCGGAAACCAGACCATGTTCAAAATACAGATCCGAAAATATAACTGCCTGTGGATATCACAGATTGAACGCAATTAATACAAAACTAAGTATAGTTTTAGTTTCCTAGTTAGAAAATTTAATCATGAATAAAAAATACTTGCATTAATACGGATTGATTTATGATTTTTTTTTTTATGTTGTGCCCCTTTTGAAGATGGTGTGCATATTGTGCCGACCTCTATTGAAATACTCGGCTCAAAATTTTAATGTGGAATGATAACAAAATTATGGCTGCACCACAAATGTGCAAATGCCCTAAATTCCCAGATTTTTCTGTCGATTAGGGTATCAATTTAAACTAGTCATATAATATTAAGAATTTTTGAACTTACCTGTGTTATAGCTTGATGATTTTGGTAAATTAACAACATCACGGCGGAAGGATGAAAGGTTTTGCGTGAATCTAAAATAAGACAAGAAGGTTTTTATTGAGTTCGAATTTGTTTTGAACAAGTTTACGCACTTCTCTTTATTTTTACTTGATACGTTGCGTTCTATACCAACCATGAGATCCTCAAACCATTGCGCCATTGTTTGCTGTTTGTCCAATGGCTGTGCACGGATTATATTATCTTTTAACGATCTATAAACATAAAAAGATATAACAATTGTAGTATGGAAAATGTATTACTTTATTATCTAAGTGATTGATTTACCTAAAATAGTCTTCATAGAGAAGTATAAGAACTAAAAGTGGTCGTGACATCGACCACTGATTTCTACAATCTTCTGCCATAACGTTATTCAACAAAGTAGACATCATGCTTTGTAGTAAATCTGAGTTCATTTCCACCACCTAATACAAAATTTTAAATAAATTAAAAAAGTATATATATTTATTAGATAAAAAATACACGATTACCTTAAGAAATTGTGCGTTTTCAGGCGTTATATTACGCAGTTTCTTGTTCGGGAATGTCGAAACTGAAATTTTTAAATATACTTTATTTTTGAGCTTATTTGTAATAATATTTGTTTGATTCCAAGTTAAAAGCAAGTTCATACCTTTTAATTGTAATTGTTTAAATATATACGATACGATACTATCCAAGATTGAACAGCAGCTGATATAAATCGTCGAGTCTATATATGAAATTACGAAATATCATAAATAGGTTAAGTGATAATACATATGTAGATAAGTATAAGTATGGAAAACTTTTTTTTACCTAAAGCAGTAAGACCCTTAGAAAGACTCTCCAATATATATACAAATGCTCGCGGTTCCAAACTAGCTAGGAAGGTTATATGATCCTGTGATAAACAATTTAGCAAACCATAATAGGCCGAGGACAATTTTGGATATTCCTTTAATTATATTAATAATTGATTTTGACATACAAATTTCCCATTTAAATTAAGATATACCCACCAATAAGTCATTTTGCTGTATTGACATTATGAGCTTAGCGGCAATATTCAATACATTATCAAGCGTGTCATCACCATACAACTTAAACACACCAAAATTAACATAATTCCCTCCCAGCGCATTTTTAAGAATTAAAAAGCAAATTGAAATGCCTTTTAGACGCATGGGATACTGCTGATCTCGCGGCACATCTAAAAGCAATATACGATTGCCGTAAATGCAGATCAATTTGGACGCTTCTCGAAATAAAAGAATCCCCATCGGGCTAGATACATTGCCTTGCAGACGTTGAGTGCGGCAATGAACAAGTTCAGCGAATAATTTTAGTACTGGAGTCGTGACCGCAGGATCATGTGCCCACAACTCCACGGCACGTATGAGTATGGGCAAGTAATCAGCGTAGTATCTTAAAAGAAAATATTAAATAATCGTAAATAAATAAGGATTTGCCCAAGCAAAGCAATAACTTGTTGCTAAGCTTTTTAAAGCAACTTACAACCATTCAAACAACATTGTATATGGTATGCGAGCATTCAAGGGCTGAGCTAAGCCACGCAAGTCTCTTGCCAAACCAATTATTGCCTTCTTCGCTTCCTCGTTAGGAAAACTATTAGCATCCATTAAAACAGTGCCCAGTGATTCAAATTGATCTGAAATTATAGATGGCACACATTTTTTTTTTTTTGTTAAAATTCAACGAACATTCTCAGAGGAGTTTCTTCATACATGACAAAAGTTTATTTGTTCAATAAAAAAGTCTTAGTTGAATTACTTGTGAGCGGTGTTAAGAAGTTGTAGAAACGTTCCTCATCTTCCCCCAAATCGAACATTAGCAAACGTCCAAGTGAAGTATAGAACATTGTGCGACAACGCATCTCCGATAACGATGAATTGGTGCCCAAAAATGGGAAATGTTCACTCTAACAAAGATGAAAATCAGTATTCGGCTTAGGGCATGTTACGGGCGTACTTACCGTATGATGGGTTAACATGAATTGTACCTCCTCCAATTTCGCTAGTTTTCTTACAGAATTGAAATGCACTGACAGATCCGAAAGTAACATTAGTGTTTTTGTGATGATTTGTTCAGAATGGCCCCAAAACTTAAGGTTAGTTATGCTGAAATGAAGGTATTGTAAGGTGTAGTGGATTAAGTAAAAAAATAATGAACTACGTCCTCGTACGGGTACAAGACGAGCACACGATTGTCATAGTACGAATCTTAAATATGAAATTTTACGTATGTATGTATGTACGAATGTAAATCATAGACTGAATAAAGATGAAATATGAATATGAACAGGGCATTCATTCAATCCCGGGATCCAGAATCCCGGCATCCCGGACACTTTTCCATGTCCCCGCAATAACTGTGTAATAACGAAAAATCTGATAGCAATTGAAAATACAACGAGATTTTACAGTGTGGAAGGGTTGTTGCTCATTTTATTTTGTTGCGGTTTTGTGGAAACTGAATTTCTGACGATATTAGTAAGGGGTTTTTACAATTAATATAGATATTTAAGAAAACTATAAAAATATTTAGACATTAAATTACAGACTCTTTTACTAAGATGCATTATGATCCCTGTAAGACCCAAAACGGTGACAATGAATCTGTGTGGTTTAAAAATGGCGAACCTACTGTTAAATACAAAAGTTTTGATAAAGTCGGACTCAATAAAAATCCCTCGATCCCGGGATTAGAATTTTTGTATCCCGAAATCCCGGGATTGTCAAAATGCTTCGCGAATATGCATTTCTCAACGGTCATCCGATAACCCGATAGTTACTAGGACTGAGAAGAAAGTCAGAATAAGGAATATATTTTACATATACAATATTTTCAAATTGCTATAGCCGCTATAGCTTTTGCCCTCTTTTTCAGAAGCGTTTTGGAGCTGAAAGCAAAGCGGGTTTTTATTTTGAATTTCCGATTTAAGTTTTCAACTTCTTGACGCTGCTGCAAACAAGACATCAAAATATTCAAATAAAAACGAATATTACAAAAATCTTTTGAATAAAATTAGGCAAATATTTTTGCGATTTTCATTAGCGGCAAGATTTGTGGTATCTTTGTGCTTTCTTCCGCCTTGCGATTTTCTAAGTGATTCAACATCGCGTTCAACAAGATCTATGTAAATTGTGTTTAAATTCTCTAGAAAACGATAAAAACGCTTCCAACTTTTCATGTTGAATCACTTACAAAATCGCCTTATGTAAATGCTGCTTTAGGGTACGTTCACACAGGAAGCAGAGCCGTGCTGAGTGTAGGCGTTCCGAGCTTTTCAATTAATTTAGTTATATGAAAGTGTTCATACAGTAAGCTTTTTTAGAAGAATTTTGCAGTTGAAAGCAAAGCATTTTTTGATGTTAAATTTTTCCCGCTCCGTCCCGTTCTTTGTGAACACCAGCATCTTCACCTCCGCCTTGCCTCGCTCGGCTTTCTGTGTGTACGCACCTTTAATATTTAACCAAGCATATTCAACAAGGTAGAAGGAACACAGCACCTCGGACAGCAACCGGATGTCTTCAGATGTCGCTAGAACGCCACCTACATGACGAGGCAACCTCTGGACCCGTCAGCCCGTCGACGGAGCTTCGTCTGCCCAACTTCGCTCTGGCTACTGCAGCAGGTTGAACTCATACCGGAGCAGATTAGATGCAGATGTGCCAAATGAGTGTCCGGCATGCGGGAGACACCTCCCGACAAAACCAACGACAAAGCAGCACGAATACTGTATGTGCCAGAGCATTTAGCCCTACAGGTTTTTTTTATCAACTCTCACCATGACTTTTTCTACCTGCCTCCTTATAGTCGAAACACTGTGCGGCGTCATGAACCTCAAAAATTAAATAGAAAGCTCAAAATCCAAAAATGCATTGCTTTCAGCTCCAAAATGCTTATGAAAATAATTTCGCTTCGGCCCGCTCTAAACAGTGATTGTACTTCTCCTAAATACAAACCCATTATGGGAATAAAGCAAATATCTTTATAATAAAAAGGATAATTTAACTTTTAAAATTGGATTTCTATTGTTTCGATCATACAATTAAACGCCTATTATTTTACCTTGTCTAAAAATGGTACGTTCATCGAAGACGTATCCAACAACATTTAAAGGATATGTGAACATTTTGAGATAAACTATTGAATGGAATATAAAACATAAAAAAAACCAAAAGTCTACTTACATTTTACGATTAATAAAACTCAAAAGCATTTGTTCGTCATTTAAGCCAAACACTTCGCTCAGGCGTTTATAAACATTTGCCTTTTGAGTTTGTTCACTAATATGCATTTTGCGTACTTGTTCCAAAAAACTTAGTATGGCTAATTCAAGTTTCTCGCAGCCAGCTTGTGGTAGACGTGCATCCGTTAAGCTCATTAATTGTAGTACCTAAAATTAATAAAAAATGTATTCTTTGAAAAACGTTTGATTTACACCCTACATACCCTGATAACTAATTCGGCATCCATCGTGTCATGATCGTCGTTCGAGTTAACGGTTAGTCGCCCAACGATTGCTGATCCAATTATATAAACTAACCAAGTGAGTTGCAGTTCATGCACCGTTATGTCCATAGGATTAGCATTAGGCGTTTGCAACAAGTTTTCGTACTCTCGGGCCTTTTGATCAAAATGTTGCACAAGTAATGTACATGTTTTATCATATTCACAACGTTCGATCACAGACAATTGTTCCAATTGTTGTTGAACCATACACAAATCATCCAAGGGATCTTCCATATTGTCACGTACAATAACTGGAACTGCATCAAGACGTGACTCAATATAAGCTTTAGTCACCTCAGGAGTGTATGTTCCCAATAAATGCGGTTCAGGGGATTTAACATACGGCACAGAGGCGACCATTCGTTGCCATAGCGTGAGCAAATAGTGCACACTATTTGGGGCAAATTGCCACATCTAAAAAAGTTTTGAATATAAAATAAATAAATAAATAAAAAAAAATAATAATCAGCCCTATCGCCAATTCCATGTGAATAAATTGTTCATATGATTTTACAAGCAAAACAATTGTTTTTGTTTTACTTTTATAAGTTTTGGGAAAAATTGTTCACATGGAGTTCCTGATAAGGCCGAATATAAATATATGCCGACCTGTAGTGACTGAACGGTAAACTTTGCAATTAGCTGTATTGCTTCCGGATAACATGGAACTGCTATAAGTTCACCCAATTGATAATTCGATTTAAGGCGAGCCAAAAGACGGCAAAATTCATGATAATTATCCGGATCGCTAAGTCCCTGTAAATATTTTTATATATTTGTCTTAATATATGCATAACACATCAAGCCTATTAAAGCTTACATGCAGATTCACGAGTATATTTTTTACACCTTCCACCAAATGAGTAAGAAATTTAGTTCGCTCTGAATTATTAAAGAGAGAACGGCGCACGGAAGTCATCTAGAGAATATTGTGTCAATTGTAATCATAAATATCCAACGAATTTTTACTTTGAACTATATTTATAAACTTACTTGCACAAGACAAGAAAGCGAATAACTGGCCAACCCATTTGGGAGAATCTGGTAAAGATCAAAAAATAATTTTAAAGTGTTTGAATCCAAAAAGGCCGGTCGCCAGGATGTGGGTATTTGCACACTATTCATGTCGTCGGACGACTCATCTGTTGAGCTGCCGATAAAATCGAAACTTAAGCAATTCTTCGTTAGCCGCAGTACGTGTGATATTAATCTGTTTAGAAAAGAGACGTTTTTAATAATTATAGTGTTTAAAAATATTGGTGATAATTTCAATACGAACGCCTGCTGGGATTCATCCATGAAATTTAGGTTTTTGCTGTTGTCACGAGCAGTAATTAATAATGAACAGGACAATAAAAAAATATCATAAAGTTGTTGGTCACGGAATGAAGTGGCAATCTTTCGATTTTTTGAAAATGATAAATTCACATCGACTTCTATAATAGAATTCATTTCCAGAACGAGTTGCGATAAAATCTGAACGCCAATAGTACAATGTTCTACCGAGCCCTACAGAGATAAATTTGTATTTAAAAAATAATAATAATTTATGAAGGGAAAATGAATGTCAAAAATGAGAATACCTGTAGGAACTTCTTTACATCTTCAAAAAGATTTTGAAATATCAAATCACTCTTATACATATCGAACCATCCATATTTTGTAATCTTAGCCAGAAGTGTAACAAGTGCTTGAACAACGAAATGTTGTAAATTTGGTCGATTAGCCAAATAGTTCAACACGTAACTTCTACGGGGTAAGAACACATTGTTAATTACTAGCATTAAAAGTTAGTAAGCATTGCTTAACCTTATATCAATTCGCTGTTCCAAATTAAGTCCTTGTATTAATTTTGTAAGTGTTGTGGCTGCCAGCAACTGCGCATAGCTTGAATCTGCACGCTCTAGAAGCATTTGACATTTAGGTAGAGCATCCTGGCTGCTTACGAAAGCCACCAGTGCCTTTTCAGCATCAGAACGTATTACTGAATCGGTTGCCTCATAGAGCTGCTTACAAAGTATTTCTAATTGTTGTATTTCCTGCAGAAAAAATAATATACAAACCATGAACATAACCTTAAGGTAAGGACTAATTATATTTTATAATAAATTCTTTGATCATCAATAGACTTACCATTATTTCCAACGATTTAAATTATTTATGAATCAACAATACTGCCCGAAACTTGCCCAGAAATGTAAAAACAGATTCTATGTATTATTTCTCTAATAGATGATCCAAATTCGTTTCCAACGTTTAAATAAGGCCTACGGATCGCCTCTGTACCCCAGTAAAGCTTCACTTTACTCTTTGCGATTTCGAATCCTTTGAAACCACACTATTTTAATTAATAAATTGCAATAGCAGTCCAATACTCGATTGTTTGTTCTGAAATTTCTGAATTTGTGTGATTTTTAACAAATTGTCATTGCGAATTCACAATTTTATGTTTCTCTGTATATTTCTTGTTTTTCAACAGCGGCCATTGACAGTTTGAAAGAGGCTGCCACTCAAGTTGAAACGGTAGCTTTTGTACTAAAATAAAAACCAAGTACTTGTACTAAACGCAGTCTAAAATTTTGAGAAAATTACAGATTTACTTTTTATTCGCTTATCATAAGCACATAGTGTAGTTTTCGCAATATATTTTAGTTTTATTCAAAAGAGGGAGTTATAAGGAAGAATCGTAAAAAAATTAAAATAAAGGCATTAGACTGGGCTCACACAGAGAAACTTTTGTTGCTAATTTTCGGCAATTTCTCTATTGGTGTTGCCCTTCGCGTTCACTCACAGCAATTCTGTTGTACACAATTGCTCTAGGTTCAGAAACTTTTGCCGCGGCAACTCTTAGCTTGTGGCAACACGCTTAGTGCTCTCGTTCGTCTGAGTAATTCTAGTTGGACGTTCACAGCTGACAACAACAATTGTGTACAAAAGAATTGCTCAGTGTAAATCCGAAGGGCAACACCAAAAGAGAAATTGCCGAAAAAGAGCAACACAAGTTTCTCTGTGTGAAGCCAGTATTGTTGTTGTCAGCTGTGAGCGGTCAGCTAGAATTACTCAGACGAACGAGAACAAAAAGCGTGGTACCATCATCGTCAGTCCCTCTCCCACAAGTAACGAGTTACCGCGACAAAAGTTTCCCTGTCTGAACCTAGACTTAAATGAGCTGACCCATGTCTAGCTGATATTTTTATTCGAACTGGCATCACCAATGAAAACAGTAAAAACAAAAATAAAAACAAATACATACATACATACAAAACATAATTGTATTCTGCACAAGATGAAATCTTTTTAGCTCGTGGAGCCGGCTTTATTTACATATTTTGTTCGCAGATTCCGGTTCCAAAAAGTTTCTTCATGGTACGCGTGGATATATTAGAAAAGCTGAAAGGAGGTGGAATAGCAAAGTGATCATGCCTTACAACTATTATTACTATGATGGACAAGTGGATTCTGCCGAAGTTGACTATGACTCTATTTTTGAAGAGAATCAGCCAATATATGAATGGAGAAACACATATGAAACCTGCATTATACCGTCAACTTTACAAATTTTGTGGTATATGAGCATTTTAATTGGTTGGAGTTTTATTAACCGTGTTGGATTAGCAGTATTTGTTCGACTACAAATCAGGCACGAATGGATACTACACACAGTTTCTATCTTACCGGGATCCTGTATACTCTACATAACTGCGGGACTAAATTCGCTAATTATTGCATTTATTGCTGGCTTATCATACGTGATGTTTCTTTTGCTAAATCGATTCGCATTTTGCAGAAAAAACATGGGTATTATTATGTTGGCATTTACTATTTCGGTACACCTTGGCTCGGAAGTAATATGGAAACGGCAACTTGCCTGGCAAGTCATTAAGGGGTCTATCATGGTTGCAAACATGAAAATTATATCAGTTGCCTTCGAAATAGCAGAAACTGCACTGAAAAGCCAACAAAATATCACCGTTCCAAACGTATTTTCCTTTCTTGGTTACATTTTTATGCCCTCAACTTTAATTATTGGCCCTTGGGTTCCCTTTAGCGCTTATCTGCATAGTATACACCAAAGTCCCTCAATATCACATTATCGGTGGGTAGTATGGTGCTTACTATGCAGTGTCCTTTCTTTAAGCTTTATTAATTTGTCCAATTGTATTGTACCATTAATATTTTCAAGTCAATCTCCTGTATGGATGCGTATTTTTCGAGATGCGTTAGCAGTGCGCTGCAGTCATTATTTTGTCAGCTTCTTATCGCAAGCTTCAATTGCTTCAAGTGGCATTTCACTAGACAAGGAATCGAAGGCTAATGCGTGGTTAGGTCATATGATCACAAAGCCACTAAACGTCGAATTTCCACGATCACTAAATACAGTGGTACGTAGCTGGAATATACCTATGCATATCTTTCTTAAGGAGTACATATTTCGCGGAGTATATAAAAGATTTCATAGCCAACTGCTTGCGATTTTTATAACCTATTTCGTCTCGTCACTTTTGCATGGCGAATATTTAAAGATATATCTAGTATTACTTTCACTAGCATCTTTTGGTTACATAGAATACAAAATTCGATTGAAAATAGCAAGTGCGTTTAATGCGTGCGTTGCCGCCAATATTTGTCGTAATCCCTGTCATTATAAATATTGTCCTAGTCATGGTTGGACAAGCGATGGCGCAGTTATAGTCCAACTGGTAAACATTTCATTTTCAATACTTACTATTTTTCACCTGGCATACTTAGGCGCGATGATGAGTGATCCTACAGAGGAAGAAGATGCACCAGAAATAACTGGTTATTATGATTACCTTAAAGCATGGTCAATAGTTAGTTATTCGAACCATTGGATTGCACTATTCACATACGTGCTTTTTTTAGCTATATAAAAAGACAATGCATGGTATTATTAAAATTTGTATACAATCAGGAGCAAAATAAGTATTTAAGACGGAAATTTGTATTAAAATATAATATAAAATGTTTTTTATAATATACGCATTGTTCCATGTGCTTCACAATTTGCAGGATTTACAGGAAAAGCGGTTTTACCAGAAATAATCCTTATGGGTTGTATGTATGTATATGTTGAAGACGATATTTTTTCCGTTTTAGAATTTGTTTTTAAATTAACTATACTAATTTGAAATTATGTATTTTGTAAGGATATTAAGTATTTAAAGCATTGTGTAATAAAGTTTATATTTTTTATATGTATATCCAAATAGCGAATTTTATTAAGATACATCACATATATCGCACACCGTCTTCAAAAGAGTCGCAACTCAAAATAATACATACGTTTGTCAGAAAATGCGAAAAACTATTTCTTAGAACATGATAATCATATAAGCAACGGCGACTTTACCTTGGGGTTTTTTTAACAAATTATAACATAAATTTGCTCCAGCTATTGCTGAAAGGTAAATAAAATCTCTGTCTACAATTTTAGCGCATAATCTCAAAAATGCCAAATTTTGAATTGTGACACTTTTGAATACGGTTGAATTACGAATATTTTCTTTTGTTGGCAATCATAAAACAAAAAAATATATTCACTTTCTGGTATAAGTAAAGAATCCGAACGTTGCAAAAAATAAAAAAATAACTACGAACGTCGATAGAGGTTTTAGAGGAAAGTATAGCGGTATATATATATTTTTTAGAGAAAACGAGAACGACGGTAGTTACGGAAGGTCAAACGCAGCCTTTTTTTTTAACCTATCCCAGGGATTCTAAACGTTTTGATGTCATTCACAAGGAATGATTCACGAATAACTTAGCGAATCACTCAGAGAACGAATTACGAAGGTGGAAACGTCGTATTACTTAAGAGCGAAATACACCACTCAAGCGGCTTGTAAAATATACTTCAACCCAATTTTTCCCATTTCACCATACACGAACCACACATGACTCGTTGAAACAAAGAATTTTTAGCTTTCACAATGCTAAAAATTATGGTTTTCTTCCATTTTTCGCATTTTTTAGCGAGGACATAAGCTCGGCAAAAATTCTTTTGCAAATGAGGCGAATTTATTTTACAAAACGCAAGCGGTTTGCTCAAACCTGGGCCCTTACTCTGTAGTTCGAATCGATAGTAAATTTGTTCGAATTCGAACGATTGGTACTATACAAGAGTAAAGCGATCGAATAGAACTTCTTTTTGATTCGAACTACAGAGTAAGGGCCCTGAAAATGGCAGCCAGAAAACCAAAAAATTTTGATTTTTGTTCAAACTTCGCTCATATAGCTTGTCAAACCTTCAAATACCCCATACACGACACAAACACTTGAAGCATTTATTTTGCTTGGTTTGTCAAGCCACTTGTGTGGTGTGTTTCGCTCTTTAGTAGACAAAAGTCGAAAAGCCATCGAGTGAGAGTCTGTTCGATTCGATTTCAGCGGCAGAACTCGATTACAAAAAGTGGAGTTTTTTTCAACAAAAAGTCGATTTCTGACTAAAGCAGAGTCGACTTTTCCATCTATAAATACTATATGTATTTGGTTTTTATGTAAAAATTATAAAAGTGCAGTAAAAAATGCATAATTTTTGCATTATTCTTAATGCATTAGCTGTTTCAATTATATTGAACTTGATTTCTCATTTGAATGTAGTCAGTGGTATTCAAGCACGCAGCGAAAAGGAAATGCAGCCGACAGCTGTTCAGTCGGTGGTACCCATTACACCTTCCTCGTCCTTACCTGGTTCGGTTACTCCTGCTGCTTCAGACTTCAATCCGCTTGGACCAATGGTGATGTGTTCCTTTTTGCCCCGTGATTTTTTGGAATGCAAAGATCCAATTGACCATGACAATAACCATACCGCTAAGGCAGTGAAAGGATATGGCTGCTTGCACTTTGGAGGATCTACCTATGACGAAGTGGAGCACACAGAAGTACAATGTACGGTATTTCCTGATATCGATTGCTACGGTCCGCGCACATTCTTGCGTGATGGCGTACCATGTGTACGCTATACCGACCATTACTTCGTGACAACACTTATCTATAGTATTCTATTAGGATTTTTAGGCATGGATAGGTTTTGTTTGGGCCAAACAGGCACCGCTGTTGGAAAGCTATTAACGATCGGTGGTGTAGGCGTTTGGTGGATTATAGACATAATACTACTCATCACAAATAACTTACTTCCAGAGGATGGAAGTAATTGGAACCCTTATGTATAACAGTATAGTATTTTAAAAATTAAATGTGATATTAGTACTAAGATAAGCTTGCATTAAATAAAGATATACAAGGAAAAACTATATTTTTGATGAATAAAAAGGACTTTATGTAGTTTAAATGTTGTATACATGTATAATTCATAAATGTTTGACATCGATTATCGTCAAAAGTAATTTTGTAATTAATCAAGCTTCGGAAGACCAGAAGATATGGAGCTTTCAATGCCACAATGATCCTCTCCACGCAAAATTTTAAAATATCCGTTATTACCCCAGTCGGTGTTCCATGAGTTTGCAATTAACCAATAGGGTGTTCCTTTTTCTTCTCCCCAGCCTAAGATGCGGATAGCGTGCCCGCCTAGTTCTTTCCCTACCACATGTTGGTAAACGCCTTCTTTGTACAGTATTAAATCTTCGTAAACCGTGAAAGCACCCTCTACTGGTCCATTCGTATAAATCTCTTCCTGAATATCTCGCTGATTTCGACCGATAGAATATGCTTTAGCACCGTAATGCTTATCCTTTGCGTAATCTACTTTGTAACTAGATTCGCATTGATGCTGACAACGGGGTGTTTTTCCATGTTCGCCATCGCAAGCCGGGCGACTTCCATTTACATGGTGTTCACAAGGTGCAATCTCGTAAGGGCGACAACCCTAATGAAACGAAACGTTAACATTCATCATTTACACAACACAATATATTGCTTTACCTGTTTGGAGCTAAAAGGTCCGCCACTAACTATACCTTTACGAGTCCAGTAACTCCAGGCAGCTCCAGGAAATCCACCATTACAACCGAAACCACAAGTATGACAACAAGATACTAAATCGTCAGCGGAGAAATGAAAATTCTGTTTTCCTTCGGAGTGGATGCAAACCTGCATATAAAGAAAAAAATCTATACATATGTATGTAGAAAATCTTTTGTAGGTGTTTAGAGAATCTCATTTTCCCCCAACAGACATCTACATACACCTGCATTTATATATACATGTATATATACATGTTCAAGCAGTCGCTTTTGCTTTTCAAATACTAAAATGACTAATAAGATAAGGCTTAATAACATTGCAAAATAAACATATACATACATATATATGTAGTATACATATGTATATAGTAAATGCACATATGATCACTTATAGGTATTTACAAATATACACTAATGGCAGATGGTGAACGACAGATAAGCACAAATATAACAAACAAAGAAATATGCGTTTTTGTTCAACTGTACTTAACGTTCTAATTGCAAACTTTTTACATATTTCCAACATCTTACCCTATCGGACATCGCTTCCACTGCGCCAAATGCCCAACAAGATCCGCAAGATCCTTGGTCTCGAATTTCCGAAATGGTCGGGCAATGAGGCCAATGCTCCCGTGAATCAAATTCTTCCGGCAACTCTATCTCATCTCCGGCTGTGTCTTTCAATAGATGAGGAAGAGCAAATTTGTGTGAATCTGGGTGCACACCCATTAAACGGCGTACGTAATTTTCGCCAACGGATTCATGAAAATTTCGTCCGGGCTAGAATCGAATTTACAACATAAAATAGGCATGAATGTAATCATAAACTCTTACCGTCCAAGTTTTGGCTTTATTGCGCACTAGTTCAATAAATTCATCTGAAAGGAAATGTGGCTCTGATAAGCCCTCTTCGGCAGATACAGCGACCAGAATAGTCGCAAATATGAAAGCCCAAAAAAATACTTTCATTATAGCTCACTATGTAAAAACAAAATTAAATGACGATTTTTTTTTTGTGGATTTAAGTTACTTATAAAGTGACGATTTATGATAAACACTACAAAACAATCCTCCGAACTTTCTAAACTTCAGGCCAAGCACTCAAAATCACAGTACAAATTAACACCTAGATATGGAAAAAACGTCGATGTTTTTGTTTTCAATATCGATTTTTATACATTGTTAAGTGGCTGTTAAGAGCGTGTCAGACGTGGCAATATATTTCGATGCAATCAATTTCGGAAAGGCTGTCAAATTGAGAAATCAGTTGCATGAGCAGTCACACCTTGCACGGAAAGTGTCTTCCGGAAGAGGATTTTATTTCCGAAAGGCGAATTGTAGGAAAAATTTCTGAAATCGCTTTTTGGCTCTTCACACAGCGAATGAGTTTCTGGCAATCTTTCTCGATACTAAAATGCAACCATGGGCGGTGAGGTTGTCGTTTTTTTTTTGCTATTTTTCTTGTAAAAACGAGAACGAAAACTCAATAAAATGAATACTCGACGTAAGCTGCTGTTGAAAAAGAAAGCAATTTTATTAAAAATTATTGCCATTATTATTAAAAAAAATAGAAGTGGATGATTCTCATACACGCCGGTCTGTTTAGGTAAGACAATTTTGCCACACGGCAACACTCGATTAGTTTGACAGCACTTGCAGAAGAAATAAAAATTGCTAGTGCAGCACGAGCAAGTTGAAATATATTTCCGAAATCGATTTTCGCTCTTGCAGTTGCAGTCCCACCTTGCAACTTTTATTTCTGAAACTGATTTCCGAAAGGTGACAGAAAGATCTTTCTGGCTGTTCACACATCGAAATAAAATTTCTCTTTCTCAATTTGACAGCGAATTGCGTGCGAAAGATGGAAGTATTGCCACGTCTGACAGGCTTTTTACTCTCTGATATTTTGAGTGTTGGATAATTCTTGCTGGATTTTCGACGAACAAACCTTTTGTCATGGTCTCGTCTAATGTAAACGCAACGTAAACTACTACTGTCTCGAAAGCATATGTCACAGTGATTAACCCTTTGATGCAACCATGTACCAATTTCATCGGCAAACATATGTTTAAAAACATACTAACGAGAAAAATAATACATTTAGATATTTTACCAAAATTGGATGGGATAGTATAATATATCGTGTTTGGAGATTGTTATTTATACAAACATAAGTGAAATGACATCCCGAAATCTAACCGAAGTTTTCATAATAATGCGCAATAATGCGTCGAAAAATCGAAACTTGTATTCTGATAATATAGTAAGTAGTGTTTTAATTAAGAATTTATATTTAATTTAGTTTCGGCTTACATTGGAAAAGCAAAGTGATGCCGCCGAACGATTACTTGCAAATTCTCTTCGAGATACAGAGGAAGGTTTGGAAATGCGAGATGACTATGGGACACCACCAGTATGGATCGATAAACTAGAGGAGGCGCAATACACTTTGTCAAAGTATTTTATATTACCACTAAATATAAAAACAGACCCCTTATACTTTAGTACATTTTAGAATAAAGCCAAAACTTGATGAACTTGGGTCCTTGCACGCAAGACATCTTTTGCAGCCAACATTCGATGAAAACTACGAAGAAGAAACTGAAATTCAAAGTCTTAGCCAGGAGATATCAAAACTAATAACATCTACTCATCGACATATACAATGCATCCGTTCAAGCCTTGGTATAGGAACCAAGATGGAGCAGCGGTTAACAGAAAACGTAGTGACTTGCCTGCTGCTCCAATTGCAGGAATTAACTTTTAAATTTCGAAATAGTCAAAGTGCTTATATAAGTCAGCTAAATTCCCGTGAAGAGCGTTCCCAAAAATATTTTGAAAATAAAGACTTCACAAATATTGATTTAGTTTCTGGATCTACGGATGATCGTGGCAACTATGTGGAAACTTTTGACAATTTCTTACAACCAATGGCTCCAGTATTAAATAAAACTACTTCCAAAATGAACCACAGCTATTTATATGACGAAGCATCTACTCAGCAGATAGATGAAGATTTTCAGCGCCCTGTTTCGAATCGTATGACACAGCAACAGCTTTTATTGTTCGAAGAAGAAAATACACGTTTAGCAATGAATCGAGATGAAGAGGTTGCCAAAGTAGTACGATCAATTTATGATCTTAATGACATATTTAAAGATCTTAGCCAGATGGTGCAAGAGCAAGGCACTGTGCTAGATCGTATCGATTACAATGTGGAACAAACACAGACGAGAGTTTCTGAAGGTCTCCGACAGTTGCAGCGTGCAGAAGCTTACCAGCGAAAGAACCGAAAAATGTGCATTATTATGGTGTTGGCAGTTGTAACTTTATTTATGCTTATTCTCCTTATTTTCACAAAGTTATAAATGAGTAAATAAATTTTAGTGTTTTCATCAAGGATTGTAAATTAGCAAATATCTTACATACGCTCGGACAATCTACTGGCCACGGAACGAAGATTGCCATACACTTTACTGGGAGGTGATCCAAGGATAAGATTACAAATTGCCCTTCGCGCCAATTGTATATTTTGATAGCTACCCAAAATATGAATTTTACTATCTGCCAGAACAATGCGGGTTTTTGTAACGTTTTCTATAGTGAACTTTGTTCGTCCTCCTTTACCAGCCAATCGACCTATAGCCCGACTTAGGTGGTG